GATTATACAGTTGTCATCTTTATTACTTCCTGAGGTGTAACTTCATGTACTGTGGATGTATATCACAAAATCGTAAGAGTTCCAAGGCAACTCAACTGTCATGATAATGACTATATACCTCATGCTACTATGTTTCAGCCTACAGTATGAAAGTTTTCCAATACTAAAATAAAACTTTGCATGCATATACAAAAAATTATCTATCTTGAAAGTTCGATAATTTTATACAACAATCATGCTATGTGAAATGACATACAATGTTAATATAAAGATTTATATTCAGATATCTGGTTATAGATTACAAACAATTGTATATAGTAAAATAAATGTACAAATAAAAATAAAGTTATGAAGCCGTCTTGAATAATAGCGCATCAATAAAAATATTAATAGTAAATTGTAGTTATGGTTTCAAATCTCTTGACTTTCTTTGCCGGGGACGAATATTCGATCAGATCTGATAAATAAATATTAAATACATAGTCAGCATATAAATCCAATGCAATAGAATCCCAGCATAGAATTTCTGACCAAAATTACTATTTAACAACAGTTAAAACCCAAGTATAAACAAAACATTTACCTGAATATAAAAGACATCGTAGCAGACAACAACACATGTCGATTTGATCACAGCGTGCTGCACTGAATATCGCACAAACGCACTTTTAGGGCAGCTTTGTTGGCGTAATATTCTTTCCGTGTTCTCTTCTTGTTTTATATGTTTCAATAATTTACTAATAGGTGGATTTGGTTTCATAAAAGTCGCAAATTTGTTGTAACCTTTTCGAATTCTATATAAATATTTTACATTCACTCCTCAATAGTCCTCATCACCTCATGTGGAATATAAACATCGCGTGTGTATATCGCCAATTATGGGACTGGAAACGAGAGGTTCATTTCCGGTGGAGTCCCCTGTAAACAAACGCCGGGCACATGCGCAGAAGGGACTTATCCCCCTCTTTAAAGCTGCAGAGCTTCCCCGCGTTTTCCCCGTTTCCTAGGATAGAGGCCTCATCACGATTTATGAATAAGGTCTATAGTACTCTGATTTTCCATTTAACATACGAGCCTCTAGTCCTGGGATCTAGGGTACATTTTGATTTACGTTGGACAAAGCTACAGTTCGGTCGGACACCAATACACTCAGGTCGGACAAACAATAAACCTCAATTTCACTTTGGTCGGACAGAATGTCTGGTGGTTTCCTCTCTACGTCAGACAATTTCACTAATGGTCGGACAATGTCCATGACCGACCGATATTTTAAGGCCTGCATAGCCGGATTAACCCTAACCCGTAGTTAAAATTTATGTATTTCTACATACAGTATCTTTTTGTTTTAAAATTATGAAAAGAAAACTCCTATGGTACTGATCCAGACAAGATGTCTAAAGAAATATTTCCAAATTTATAAACAAACTGTTAGGAAGTTTGCTTAATCTAAGGTTAACTTATCAGCTTTCGAACAATCAACCCCTGCATGGTGATTTTGTTTGTCAATGGAGAGTGTGTTGGACAAAAAAGGTTTTAACCTTTCATTGAAACTAGATTGTCTGCCCGCATTTTGCGTTAACACATTATTAAGATAAATTCCAGGTTTCTTTGTATGTCATGCTTGAAGTTTTCAAGGATGGATAGATCGGCTTAGATAAAAATGTTAATTTGATGTTTTGTGTGGCAACTTGAATATGGACATCTCCCTAATTGGAAACAGTTAAAGTCCTTAGTTTGTTTGTTTATTCAAACTCATGAATACATTTAGCTAGCTACACCACCCACATGATCTGCTTAGTAATATATGTAACAACCCAATTCACTCCAATTAACCCAGTTTTCAGCACTTTCTTAAATTATGTCACCTTTCCTAATGCCGGACAAGTTAATTTGTGTGTAGCTAGATTTTGCCCATGTTTCATGTTGACATATTTAGATGCAATTTTCCTTAACACTCCCTACTTTAAGTACTTTAATATTGAACTGTGACGTCTCATGCTAGACAATTTTACTTATCGACTGCATGGACTCATTTCACCTATTAACACCGAAGAAACAATTTCCTCTTAAATGTTGCCTACTTTCGGTTCTTTCTAGGGGTGTGCAGGACAGAGTATTTCTGCTATCCAGCCAGATACAGGATATATTATGCTGGATGGCTGAAAAATATCCAGCCCGATTAAGGGTATTATTCAAATAATTATATAAGGTTCAGGCATCATTTAAGGTTAAGTACTGGTAATAATTTTATTTGGTTAAAAAGTAAACAGTCTAAAACTAGTAAACCTGCATCATTGGTAGCAAACATGCATCATTGGTAGCAAAAGCCTCGTTTACATCAGTTAAAAGTTCAAATCCCCATTTACTGTACAAACAAGCATAAAAAATCTTGAAAATACTGATCATATTTATCATATTTTTGCTTCAATGATCATGATATGATAACCTTATCAAATCATTTTCTAACCTGAAAAGAAGGCCTGAACCCTATATGAATAATATCCGGCATTGGGTAGCCGGATGCCAGATAATGAATTAAAATCTTAATATCCGGCCAGATACAGTATCAGTCCATTGCATCCTATGTCTTGAAATGCCAAACAAATTAACTTGTTAAATGACTGTACGAACTGTTACATGAAGTACATTGCTTGCGGGCGCAGGAGAAAAGGGCGCGAAAACATTGTGACGAGTTTTATCTTTTATCGAGTTTGGTATTATCACTGTGTTATATATTTGTATTGTTGATTATAAAGGAAAAATACCTCACAATAACTTGTAAGTAATCCTGTTTCTAGGATCGTTAAGTATCTTTACACACACTAATTTTTTAGTAAACTAACTAACAATGTAACATATTTCTAGCGAATCTAGTGCTGACTAGTGCAGTCGTCAGTGCTGAATAAAAGTATTGTGAAAAGACAAATTTACGAGAATTGAAGTTTACAATGACTGTATATTGATATTCAATATACTTAGCTAATATTAGCCTCCTGCGCAGACGTTGTTAGTGGCCGAGGCCTCACCTAACGTCTGCTCACATTCGCTATACATTTGACTTCCCGGCAATTAACCAATCACAATCATCTACACGATAATTGGAAGATCGGCCTTCAATGACCTTCACACGCATGGGCTATATCAACAAGTCTGTAGTATTTTTAAATTTGAAAGTTTTAACACTGCGCATTAGAAAAAGGCTTTTCAGTCTATTATAAACGAAAAGGATGTTGTCGTAAATCTTACAACTGACGCAGGAAATCCCTTATTTATCACGCCGTTACCGAAGCTATTCGATGTAATATTCGGATTTAAATATTTAAACAAATTGTAAACATTGTAAACATTTAGTAATCGTGGTTTCGGTTGATAAATTCAATACGAGATCAAGTCAAAAAACTACACGATCTAGGAGTCAGTGCTGTGTCATTATTAAGTTGAATCGAGAGCGATAAAGAAGCGAAGGCATTGGAAGAATGGAAATATTCTGACTGTATTATATGCAGAGTCATTGTTGAAGACCGAACGATGGAAACGAATGCTTCAACAAATTGTACGTATAGCAAAATGGTTTGTGCTTTGGCTGTTGATGCATGAAGCTCGTGCGATTAAACAATGGTATGTATTATAATAAATCCTAAAAATGTGTTCGCTTTTGTAATTCCCAAAGACACAGGAATCGATCGGGCTTGGCCATTTTAATAGTCATTATTCATTAATATTTTATATTGTTTATTTAAATTGAATTTGTCTTTTTATACATTGCCTCGTATTATCTATTTGCATGTAGTACTAGCATGCAAGTTTATATGAGGGCAATTATGAAGGGTTTACATCAGAGGGTTGGGGCATGTATATTATAACTAGAATGGCTCATAAACTTGCTGGTGCTACGTGCAATAGATAATACGAGGCAACGTATAAATCAAGACAATATAAAATAACGACTATTAAAATGGTCAAAGCCGATCGATTGCTGTGGCTTTGAGAATTGCAAATGCAAACACATGTTTAGGATTTATTATAATACATACTGAAATGAGCTTCATGCATCAATAGCCAAAGCACAAACCGTTCTGCCATACACTTTGTCTTTGTCTTCAGCAATGACTCTGCTGTGCCATATAATACAGTCAGAATATTTCCCATCTTCCAATGTCTTCGCTTCTTTATCGCTCTCGATTAAACTTAATAATGACACAGCACCGACTCCTAGATCGTGTAATTTTTTTACTTGATCACGATCGTATTGAATTTATCAATGACGAAATCGCGATTACTAAATGTTTACAATGTTTACAATTTGTTTAAATATTTAAATCCGAATATTACATCGAATAGCTTCGGTAACGGCGTGATAAATAAGGGATTTCCTGCGTCAGTTGTAAGATTTACGTCAACATCCTTTTCGTTTATAATAGACTGAAAAGCCTTTTTCTAATGCGCAGTGTTAAAATTTTCAAATTTAAAAATACTACAGACTTGTTGATATAGCCCATGCGTGTGAAGGTCATTGAAGGCCGATCTTCCAATTATCGTGTAGATGATTGTGATTGGTTAATTGCCGGGAAGTCAAATGTATAGCGAATGTGAGCAGACGTTAGGTGAGGCCTCGGGCCACTAACAACGTCTGCGCAGGAGGCTAAAAATGCGTGTTGAAATTTTTTTTTTATTATTTTTTTTATTGTTTTTTAAATTTTTTTAAATTTTTTTTTCATGCATCGAGTCTACTCAGTGTAGACTCGATGCATGCCCGAGCGCCATGCGCGAGGGTACAAATTTCAACACGCATTTTTGGGCGGCTATGCTCATATTAAACAATGTGTCAATGTGAGGACCTCTAATGTAAACATTGCCCAAATTTCGAATGTTTCGAATTTTTCTGAACATAAACTCTATTTCATATTCATTTAGAAGCATAGCGAACCAAAATGGTGTTAGATATTCAGACAGTACATCATATTTAAAAAAAAATACAGCAGTTCAAAATGTAAACAAACCATTTGTTTACATTACGGACTTGACTTCCACTTTAAGTATTTTTACCCATTCGGCGTCATTTGGTAGTTTCAATTTGCACGCTTCGCAATACCAAAGACTTTCACTTTCTTTGCGAAACTTTCTTCTCAAATGTTTCTTTGATTTCAAATGTTCGTCGTACATTTTTAACGATGTACAACGATACTTCGGGCAGACACTACATGACAACTGTGTACACACCTCCGACTAAAAGGAATTATTTCACAGATTTAGTATGGTGCATGGTAGAAAAAAATACTTAGATTTGAAGGATTTTAGGATGTTTTTGTTCTCTACATAATACCTGTAGTTTTCGTAGGGTTTTTTTCGAGTAATTTTCTTCTAAAGATTTTGAATTTACCGGGCTTTTGTTTTCAGTGGCCGCCATGTTTATATTCCGGCTGAAACGTCATGTAAGGTGAAACCAAAATAAACGTGTGTTTTTCAATAAATATGTTTTTTATACTTGTTATTTTATATGTGGAGTGAATTTCACAGCGCTCAGGTGTAGAGCAACACAACATATTAATATTTAAAACAATTTTAAACTCTGTTTAATCGTAATAAATGCTTTGCGTGATTTTTCCTATTCTTGCTGCCCCTCCTAAAGGCCGCTCCCCCCTGCTGAAACTGGCCGCCATATTGGAATTAATGTTAAAAACAAGAACCGCTAATGCTATATTAAAATGACTAAAATGTCGATGACGGTGTCTGTTTATAAAAAATCATAGTTAATGGTCGTAATGGCTGGCGAGTTGCCTTCATCTAAACTTGGGACTATTGAACAGTAAGAAAAATTAACCAAAATATAAACTTTTAAACAATGTATTAAAATTTGTCAAGCTATAATACAGGGGGGAGTGTATTTTTAAATTTATGTTCCTTTTTATCGTTATTAGTTGGAATGAGGTTTATGAAAAAGAACTAGCAGACTTTGAAGATACTGGTGATGAGGGAGAAATATGGTGAGTTTTCTTAAAGTTTAATTCAAGTCAATTGAGTAAATGTATGCAGATGAGCAGATCTGCTAAGGGGGTGGGTGGGGTGGGTATATCTGTTGGAGGGGGTACATGATGAATCTAATAATGACACTCCTTTAATGAATCAAAATAGATATATAGTACACAGTAGAGCATGTGTTTATAACAAATTTGCAATGGTATGCCAAAATGATGTGATGTATTTGGTTAGGTTTGGTGAGCATACATTGAAGAAGCTTGTTGGATGGTTGGAGAACAATAAATGTGTTGGGAAAGATTTCAATGTGCTGGATATTGGGTGTGGAAATGGCGTTACACTTGTTGAAATGGTACGGTTCAACTTGACTAACCCTATACTGGATAACGCTTTTTTTTCTAAACAGTTCTTCCTAGAGTTCCAATCAGGGCCACCCGTATTGTTCTAGTGTTTCTAGTAATTAGGAAACCAGCATGCCTGGAAAAGACTTTCTGCAAACTGTTTTTTCACCTGCTGTTTTTTAGGCCAAAAGAGGTTTTGTGAACCTAACTGGATGTGATTATTCATTACAAGCTGTAGAACTGGCAAGGAATATTGCTAAAAGAGAAACTGTGAAAATTGATTACATGGTAAGCAAATAAGATCAACTTTTTATTCATCAGGTATGGAAACATTAATTAAATTCCATTCTTAAGGCCTGATTTCTAGTGTGATTTTCTTCTTTCTATGCATGTGAATGAGTATGATGAGTTATGAATGTTCTGAGTGTTTTACCCTCATCTCAATATTCACAACTCATCCACTCGTTCACATCCATCACAAGAAGAAAATTGCACCTAAAATAGCAGCAAAAATTACAAGTGTCAATGGGCCTTTTTCGACTCCTTTATAATTCATGAGTAAAACACAGTCATTATGAGGTTCAGATTCTAACTTCCACTACTGCTACTATTAACCAATCAGATGTGGAGTCAATCCGTTAACCAATCAGATGCATTGAGCCAACCCCATTAACCAATCAGATACATTGAGTCAACCCCATTAACCAATCAGATGCATTGAGTCAACCCCATTAACCAATCAGATGCATTGAGTCAACCCCATTAACAAATCAGATGCATTGAGTCAACCCCATTAACCAATCAGATGCTTTGAGTCAACCCCATTAACCAATCAGATGCATTGAGCCAACCCCATTAACCAATCAGATACATTGAGTCAACCCCATTAACCAATCAGATGCATTGAGTCAACCCCGTTAACCAATCAGATGCATTGAGTCAACCCCATTAACCAATCAGATGCATTGAGTCAACCCCATTAACCAATCAGATGCATTGAGTCAACCCCATTAACCAATCAGATGCATTGAGTCAACCCCATTAACCAATCAGATGCATTGAGTCAACCCCATTAACCAATCAGATGCATTGAGTCAACCCCATTAACCAATCAGATGCATTGAGTCAACCCCATTAACCAATCAGATGCATTGAGTCAACCCCATTAACCAATCAGATGCATTGAGTCAACCCCATTAACCAATCAGATGCATTGAGTCAACCCCATTAACCAATCAGATGCTTTGAGTCAACCCCATTAACCAATCAGATGCATTGAATCAACCCCATTAACCAATCAGATGCATTGAGTCAACCCCATTAACCAATCAAATAAAGCCAGTGAGAGGCATATAGCAGCAGTGGTAGTAGTTAAGTCAAATTGTGGAATGATACCACAGCAATAAAAGTTCATAAATTAAATACAACTTTTATGTTGAATTTCTCTTTAAATACTACTTAGTTTGAGAAGTTTAATCATGCACTCAAAGTGGTGTCCTAAAGTGCAAATTTCAAATTTGTGCAGCGGAGAAATGGATGAATTATACAACTGAAATAACGTTTCTTTATACCTTAGGTTATGGACATTTTGGATTTGGAAAACTCGGCATTAAAAGAAAGACATTTTGATGTGTGTATTGACAAGGGAACGTACGATGCAATAAGTTTAAACCCAGAGAATTCAAAACATTGTAGAGAACTTTACAAAAAATCTCTTTGTCAACTTTTGAACACAAATGGTGTATTTGCATTGGCTTCTTGTAACTGGACACTTGACGAACTGAAGGACTTCTTCAAATCAGGTAAAATTTTAACAAGTATATGAAGTATATATTTCATGGAAAAAATGATCGCGTTGTGCGCATCTTTTGCGAAAAATGCCGCTGCATTTCCCCAGCAGTTAAAATGTGTTCATGTGGTCGGGAATGTAATTTATTCGAGAATTATATTCATTTACTAAAACCAGAATAGCGTGCGAAAACATTTACCCAGTTGCCGAGAAGGAACGCACTTCAAAGATCCGTTAGAATGGTGAATTTTGTTAATTTTTAGATTTTGATTTGATTGAAGAATTACCAAGTCCTAAGTTTACGTTTGGCGGAGTGGCAGGGCAGAGTGTAACTTCTTGTATTTGGAGAAAAATATCTTAAAACCAATAAATGTGTTGTCGCTAACACAGGTTGATAACTTTATGACAAACCGCCGATCTCAGCATTACTAGGATCTTAGATTAATATCATAGTCAATAAATAACTTGTTGAAAAACAAGACTATTGTCTTCGTGAGAGAAAACGTTCGTTACGTAAAGCTGAAACTTTTCTTACAACTTGAAAGAGCTCTAAACAGACTAAAGCCCTGTCTAACCTGTTATGTATATAGAGGTCCAGTAAGGACCACTGACCAATGTGACCGTAACTCTGGCAATTTCAAAACCAGTTGAGACTAATGATTCTTCCGTCAACCTCTAATACGCAAATGGTTTTTCTTTACTTTTTGAATAAGTATTCGTTTAAGAATCATTTTCATGACGAATAAAGCACATGATTAAAATTTTTATTGCGACTGAGAACATCAATATGGCGGCTCTGACGTCACCTAAGATGCTTCCACGTGCGCAACCAATCAATGACGTCACAATTGGTATGTGATGCAGTAATGTTGTAAGATGTCGATCATAGCAATACCTTATGGAGAAACTTTGGATTCATACTCGTCCATTGAGGTGAGTTCTCTACAAAAAACATTTATTATATCTTAATTTTAAACTCAGTTCATGTCAGCCTATTTTCTTTTGCAGAGTCTCAAGAAGACGAGAACTTTAGCTTCTTATAAATTTCGTGGCAGAATGTCTCCTCTACGAGAGCAATGGACGAGGAATAGACACGACAGTAACGCTACAAAAGTAAGACGTGTGTACCAGGTCATTTTTGTTAAAATAACTACACTATGTTATTCGTATTAATTATTCTAAATCTATTTTCTAGTTTTTCCCCCCAGCCAGTTGTGATCCGTTGTTGGATTTCATAAACTTGGATGATTTTGAGAACGATGAAAAACTTCTGAGAAATTTCGAAGACGTTTTAAAAATTCATAAGATGGGTTTCCCTGTCAAGGTAGGAAATGTTTTTTAGAATATTGAAAGAAATTTGTTTTGAAAATTTTTTTAGAAATTTTTTTAGAAAATTGAAACGTACCACCAATAATAATTAATGCAACGTAGTACTTTCTAGATAATAAAACAAAACTGGTTCCCAGGTTTAATATGCATCCCAATATTTCACTGCCAACGTTGTCTCGCGCTATGGACACAGGCAGCCCAAGTTCCAAGCTTATGTTCTGAAATTAGTCAAAGTGTCTATGGTCGACTCATTCCTATCAGTATCACCAAATGCGACTTGCTGACGAAGCTTCTCGATCGGAAACCGACGGCAAGGCGACTATGCAAACAGGTTTCTGTCAGTAAACCTGAAGTCAAACCGGAAAGGTCCACGGATAACAGTTTTGGCGGGAAAATTTCTCGACCAATTCCAGTGGCGGAATTTGTTGATATCAATGAACAGCTCCAAAAATATCGAAAGAAATTTATGCGTGGGCTGAAAGGAATTGGCCCTGAGGCAAGTGGAAGGTTTTTGGAGACTGGAGGGCCAGCAAGCAGTCCAGTAGGTGACTATGTATCAGAGGGCAAGGAGGAATTGGCCCGTGGTACCAAAGGTGGATTGGAGGCAGTTGATTCAAATTATGGAACAGCAGTGTCCAGTGAAGAAACGAGTGCAGTGGATGAGAACGTGACGTTCAAGTTTAATCCGAGTAAGTTTGTGCTTTAAATACCATTGATTGTCCTATACCAAGGGGTTTCGGTGCTGCAATCGTCAGAGCTAGCAAACGCCTTTCGCCTCTGAGTTTGTGGGTTCGATCCTCACTTCCGACTAGTGACATATACTTATGTGAAAAGAGTTCGTCAACGCTCTGCCGAAAGTCGTGGGTTTTCTCTGGGTGCTCCAGTTTCCTCCCACAGGGAAAGTTGACAGGGTGGGTTGGGATGAGCCCCTAACTGACCCTTCCACCGTAACTGTGCTCCGTGATCAGACACGAGTCATAAGGTGGCTGCCAGAGGCGTTCTTAGAAAGCCTTCGACTCAATCAGGTTGAGCTGCGTCCTTCGTAATTCAGCTTAGCTCTCAGCTGCAAAAAAAGATGATTAACACACCCCACTTACTTCCTTCCTTACTATTGATGGTTTTCAGTGAGTGCTGTCTTTTTGCAGATGATGACAGGCAGTTATCTGAGAGTGAAAAAAAAGTTCATTCTTTTCATTATTTGCTGTAGTAAATTAGTAATCTCGTATTTGGAAGCAAATAAAAGGGAGAGTTTTAGTCTAAATACAGTAATTTGCCGCTTGCTCATATAAGTGTTAACATTTCCATAGTTGACCAGCATTTGTTTTGAAAATCTCTTCTGTTCTCCATGCCATTCATTGTTTGCATGTAATAGGAAAAGGCTGATTTCAATGAAACAAATTTATTTTATTTTTCAGAATATTATAACCAAAGAATTCACGATAGATCATGCAATGTCAATGAAAAGCGTAGCAAAGACGACTATCGAGCCAGGCTTTCAACATCAGGAGAGGGAAACCGTGTGGAAAACGGTATAACTATTACCAGCAAAAACAAAGCTAACAAGCTAACCACTGTGGGGACAAAACCGACAAAACTCACACCGCGACAAATTACAAAGATCAAGCGGCCTGCACCGAGAACTTGCCGACAATCAACGAACCCCGAGGTGCCATCAGATGTTGCCACTGAGCTCTACGTGGATGTTGCCTATGAAAATAAACTAACAGAATTACGCCAGAAAACGCTTGCATTTGACAAACGAGCTTTGAAAGTAGTTTTTGGCGATAAACTTGAAGCAGTTTTTGGGGATAAATTAGAAACGCTTGACGCGGGTATGGTAAATTCTGTGTGGTTTAAAAGATTAGTTGAGGATTTGGGAAAGAAGGAGGAAAAGTTAAGAACATATAAACGGGAATTAACTAGGGCGTTTTCTTTTTCCTATTTTGAACTTTTAAGAAAGGTAAATAAAGTACACTAATTTTGGAGCTTAGTTTCATAGGAAAAGTGATCAGTTACTATAAAATATTGCTTAGCATTTAAAGAAATTTATATATTGTGAAATTTTATATATTTTTGAATATTTATATATTGTGAAATTTATATAGTGTGAAATTTGTTTCAAATTTGATTCTAATCTTTCAATATGCCTTTTGTTTGCAAGAGTAAACAGCTCAGATAACATTGTCAAGAGCATATTTACAGGCTTTAATCTGACCAGCCAATCTCACAATGATATCTTCAAAACCGTGTCAAAAAGAGTACAATTGCGTGAGAACACAAGATGTTTTCATTTGGGATTGTTCATCCTTAAGGCCTGTTTAAACGGATCCAACATTGTTGGACCAACATCATCCAACAATGTTACTATACTAGATATGACTGCTTCTCTTTCAAATCTTTTTGGTTAGATAAGCTTTACTCAAACCCTAAACCTAGTCTTGACAAAAT